GGACTCACAAGTTTGTCTTTTTTTAAGTTAGCCAGAGGCATAAAGTAGAAACACTGATGCAATGAGTTGGTTAAAGACTCTGGTGAACAGTTGGACAGCTTATTCCCTGGTTCTTCCCATCAGCAATGTTTCCTACTTTACGACTTGGGAGTAAATCTGGCTGAAGTCTTTCCTGTCTGCAATGCCTCAATTCAAATTCCATTGAAATTACTAAGATACCAAATGAAATCTTTAAATTCTGGATCAAAATCTGAAGGCCAGAATGCCTAGTGTGTTTCATTGGGACACAAATAACACAAACAGGTACATATTGGAACTTCAGAATAATGGCAGCATTACACTTAATTTTAATAAGCTCCTACAAACTATGGAAACAATGTGGTAGCCAAACACCTGCTTTTCCAGATGCCTGAACAATATTTTAAAACCCAGCTTCAAGAGTTCAGCTGAGCTAATGATTTACCAAGAGCTTTGTGAACCTTAACAGGCAAATCTTTCTGAAAAAATAGTTCAAATATTCTCATTTGGATTAATTGCAAATGACTGCTTCCCTGCGGCAGCACAGCAAGAGGCTGCCTCTCATGGATTTTGGCTCAGTCTAAAAATCCAGACCCCTCCCTATGGTGCGAGATGAGTGACACTAACTTAGTTCCAACTCACTTCATTTCAGGTGTACAAAGATCTTTTAGCTGTAAAAATCCATGTCCTAGACAGGTAAAATCATTCCAGTTATGCTGAGCTATCTTTGTTTTCAGAAAGCTTTTAGTTTGTCCAAGTCCCAGTTGTATGTATTCCTGCTATTGAAACCACAGTGCAGGTAACAGTTCCTACCTACCTCGGGGATGCCAGTGCCAATTATGTGGTGACCTTCAGTCTTTGCTCCAGCACCTTCCCCTTCTTTTTTATTTTGATAGCAGAATATTTACCCTTCCAGTTGGCAATTTTTGCAATACTCAGAGCCAAAAAGCTTAGCAGAGTCTGCTTTTTGGACAGTCATAAGGTAATGAAAACAAGGTAAAAAACAGTCCAGGAAGATAATAAAGTGCACAGCAAGACAGAGGCAAGGACTGCTGTGACCTACTCAGGTTTTGCAAATTTAAGGTATATAATTCTATCTTAATAAGTGTTCCAGCTTCTTAACGTTCCCATGGAAAAAAAAAATCAGTAATTAGAAAACAAGTTTTCTTTCCCATTTTGCCTTTGCACTTTACCATCTATTCTCTATTAACTGCTCTCTTCATTTATTTGCTCAATCTTGTCTCTTGAGCAGATAAAAGGGTTTCATTAAAGCAAAGCCTAATGCTGTCAGTGGCAGGAGAGATGCCAACCCTGGCGGTTTTAGTAAGTCTATTAAGCAGACCTAAGCATGCTAATACTTAATAAATTCCTTCTATTCACAGCAGTCCTTTGCAAATATGCCTTTATCTCGTATGAAAAAATAGGTTATGCAATTCGAATGAGTAATAAAAGACCAGACCCCACACTCTACCTTGTTGGGTTTTTTTAATATATAGAGACAGTTCTGTCCTAAGAGAAACAGCAGCGTACTATTAATCATAACCTCTGCTGTACCAGAAGCACTTCTTGAGATTACAGAAAGGTTTAACAACAGCTTCATGACAGTATTCAGTTTCAGAGATTATTAAGAAGAAACCAGCACTGGACAATCAAAACAGAACTTTTTTTTTTCAAGGATTCTCTGCCACAGCCCATTTGCAGATCAGATGTTCCAAGCCTATCTGAAGGACATCTGTTGTACCCATCTAGTACAGTTTACCTCTCATTTATCCAGAGGTCAAAACCCCCAAGATTCTACAAATCACTGACATCTTCTGTCACTGCCATAGCACTTAATGTGGTAGAAAATAGTTGAAGACTAACAAGTGAACTACATAACAGTACTAGTCGGCATCACTGCTTATCAAAGTAAAAGCCTTTATCCTCCTTAATACCATTTGCCTTTCTTCAGGTCTCCACAGCTCCTGCTATTACTTCGTGTTTAATTGAAACAAAGTTTTTAAAGCAACAAAGCATTGACTGTTCATCTCTTACATAAGAGAACAAATCTGCAGCAGAAGACAACTGTCAGTTCAACAAAAACCTTGACCAAAAAAAAAAAAAAATCTATGAGGCTTCTAAAAGAAAAAATGGAGCACTCACGTCAAAAAGAGAAGATTGATCTTAATTCTTCTCTCCTGAAAGATTAATGTCATTGTTTAGGTAATGTAATAAATGTGGGGCAGGGGGGGACGACACACTACCCTGATATCTAATAGGAAATATCCTCAGTAAGCAGCATGCTTTAAGTGCACATTTACCTGAGAACTAATGTCAGACAAGTGCAGAAATAATAGTGGAGCAGTCCCACAGCATCATTTCTCCAGCCATTTGTGATGACCATAATAGAAAACACTGGCTAGCAACAGCTGATTTTTTATTCATTCTCTGTTTTCAGGTTTTACAAACGGTACTGGAGACCCTACTTGTTTTAGTTCATACAAAATTATCATACAGGTGGAAAAATCATAAAAGGACCATGGTTCTGTGAAAAGACAGCACCACATTTTAAACTCAAAACCTAAACTGTCTCAATAAGAAAAAAAGCACTCACCTTTGTAAGGCTTTAGCAGAGAAAAGCTAATCACACACCGGCCTATTATTATATTTAGTGTAGAATTTATATACCAGCTACTCCAGTGAGGCTAACAACATATCAGCAGCTTTGCACAGAAGCACAACATCTACCGAGCAAAATAAACCAGCCTTCTCCATCAAGGACTGTCTTTCCGCTTCCCCAAGGAAAGAGAAATTGCACTGAAGCCACCCACAGCAGGTGGCAATCGTGTTGCTTAGCCATAGCTGTGGTGAAGGCTTCAGATAAAGGACAGCTTGGCACTTAGACAGTAATGAATTAGGCTTCTTCACAATCGCCTGAGTATACCCCTAAGCAATTCTGCTCCGTGTTATTTCATTAACTTATTTCATATCCTTGCAGGGCAAAACAGTACTTACACTAGATAATGCAATAGCCTGCAGACCTCTTCTCACACGGCTCAGTTCTGCTGTTCTACTGCATGGGAACACCTGCTTGTAGAGAACAGAAAATACCGATGAGTCAGAGCATGGCAAAGCAAAGGAAATTCTCTCCTGTGAACAAACTTACATAAAGTAAGAGAAATATGGCAACACCTTTTCTGTTATTTTTAAGTAAACACTCTTAGAATCTCATCTGAATGATCCACGTGATGCTGATTAACACACCCATATAATGAAGGAGAAAGGCTTCAATCATTCTGCCCCTAAATTTACATCTAAGAACTCAGTTTTATAGCATAACACTGGGTATTTCTGCATTCTTATTTTTCAAGGTTATGGAAAAAAACACGAATTAAGGACCTTGACAAAAATCTAGTTTGCCACAGAAGGCTATGCAAATAACAACAAACACCGTCACAGAGAATATCAATGTACTTTATAGATTCTTCTCTAGTGCCATCTCACTATCAAATGATTCCCCTTGTGGTAAAAACCTCAGTTAGGAAAGGACTGTGTGCAAAGGAACTTGTGATGTCTGTCCTCCAACTTACATTTGTATAAAAATGGTAAATTTTTAGTAACAAATACAACGATCTCTTAAAAAAGCATGTATTTGTTATTGATGAAATTGACATTGTTCCAAAAATAAACATGTGTAAAAAAAACTGTTATCATTTTTCCTTCAATTACTAACTCAGATACCAGCAACACATAAAGGTAACAAAGCAATAGAACAGTTATTTTATAAGAAATGTATAGTATTTTTGTGCACAGCTGTTGATTTATATAAGTGGACTTTATACTGCTAGGCAACGTGATTAATATACCAGAAAAGAAGGTAAAAAGTAGGTCAGTGATATAGGACAATGGTTCTTCAACTCAACTCGTCTCCCTGCCTCCAACGTGAAGCATAATGTTCATTCCTCATATTTTGGAGCACTAAATAACCCTGTAACTAGATGCAGAAGGCACGAATTATTAGACATTATCCACCCTTGATCTTTACACAAAATTCCCATGACATCTATAGAAATTCCACAGCTGCACAAAACAGAATAAGGTCCATAGCAAACACAGCTTTCAGGATTTGCTCTTCAATAAATATCACAAGCGTAAGAGAGACAGCAAATGTTAACATTTTATTTGTTTTGAACATATAAAGGTTACAACTCTCTGAAACAATTCTTTTAGAGCCATCTTGTGGGGAAAATAAGCAATTTAAAACGATACATGTACTCTGACTGGTTTTCTACCAAAAAGATCAGTGTTCAGTATGACATCTTCTAGTACTCTTTTAAAAAAATAAATGTCTCGGTCACACTGTAAACTTTATACAACATTGTTTAAACCACTGGAACATGGAAGAAGTGCCTTTTTGAACAATTGTGTTAAAAGATTGGTTCTAGATAGAAAATATATATATCATGAAGTTAAAGATGCTATTTTTCTGAAGAATGCTCTTAGGCCAGATTCCATTCAAACTCCACCCAACTGCAGCCCACAAAAAAAGCGTAAAAACCTAGAGAAGCTGAGGTTTCTTTCAGAGCTCACTTGGCCAAATGAGTAAATCAGATGGAATTATTCAATCTAACTAAAATGGGGTAAAAAACCCCAAAATAAATCTAAATATAGTAGTAGATTCAGCACTCAAAGCTGAAAAGCTTTTGTTCTTTAACATCCTTAGCATTGCCAATTTATTTCAAGTTTTGGTAATCTGCTAGTTCTGAAGGACTTTACACCAGCTGTTTATAAAGAACTCATTAAATTACAGTTTTCTGTTTGTGTACACTTAAGTGAAGTACAGGGTTGGGCTGTCAATTTCAGAATAATCAAAAGTTATGATGCAGGCTTCAGCTACCTAGAGCAATCAAACATCAGCTGCTGCTTGATCTACGTGTCTTGTCTACGAAGCAAAGCACTTGAATTTTATCCTAGAGAACAGAAGTGCACATGTAGTCCATATATCTTACTCGGCTTTAACTGATGCCCTATTAAAATACTCCATTTACACAGAACATCAAAGCATATCACATCACATTTATCCAATACGTAATTATCTCCTATTAATACAAAAGTAAAACAGAATCTCACAGAATGCTGTTACAAAGTGCACAGTCAAGAGGTGTCACAGAAATACTTTTTGGAGCTGTTACAATCAGTGTATATTATAGACTAGCAGGCACCTCTGTTAGTTTTTGTTTTTTAAATAAATAAGGAAATTTAACAACAAAAGGGTCCTACAGTATCCAAAGCCTCTGACAGCTGTAACTAAACAGAACATACTGGCACCCAGATGTATAACCAGACAATTTTGCTAAGGCAAGCACAAGTATATCAAATTTTAATTTTACACTTCTACCAAACTTTGAGTGAAAGAAGGTGTACATGTACACTCTCCTTCCTCCTTAAAGATGACAATGAGATCCACTTGTCCACATCCTCTTCAAACCTTGGAAAGGAGCCCTGACTCGGGGGCACTCGCCTTAATGAGATTCTGGATTTCTTTGAATTTTGGATGTTCTTTATCAGCTACCAGCTGCAGCAATATAGCTTCACTAGTAGTAACTATAATTCCAGTACGAGCAAGACGCTGAAAGAGAAAAGAGCAGAGAGAGAATAATGTGAGATACTTGCAAATGTAAATGAGTATACATTTTGTAAAAAAGACGGATGGTATTTTTAAAAATAGCTCCTATTAACAAAAGTATTGCCAATTCCATTCCAGCATTTCTTAGTGATACCATTTATAAAGCTAGGATGGAAACTGACTGTTTTCAGACTTCAGTGAGGCTAAAAGGCTGCCCTGGATTACAAAGAAGGCTTCCTACTTGGACTGGATTCTTTCCCCATGTCAGATTTAACATGCATAAGACCCACCCCCTCTTATATTGACAACCCTTTCCCCTTTCACGGTCCCAAGGATAGCTTTCTTCACTCTCATGCAGATTTGAAAGGCCTGGGGAAAAAGAAAATAGCAAGGTCCAAGCTAAAGGCGTTAAGCAAGAAACTTAATTGCAACAATTTCTTTTTCAGGGCTTGTTGTGTACTAGTACTTCGGTCTTTGGACTACACAGTGCGGTAGTACTGATAATCTCAGGAAACAGAATGAAAAGCTCCCCTACAGACCTTACAAAAAATACTGGCACAAAGTAGCTCCTTTTAACCAACATCTCATTACAGCCTCAGTAGCTCCTGAGTTAGTTCTCACAGGCTACAGAATAAAAAGCTGCATAGAAGGCAAAGCTGAAAGAGGTCTGCTAGATCTTGTAAGTATGCAACTAAACAGGGCAATGCTTCATGTAGTCCAAAGTCACAGGACTTATTGCAAAGCTTTTGGACTTTTAAGACTGTGGTTGTTGCTTACATAGCAAAGTTATCGTTAAGTAAAGGCTGACCACCCCTGACCCCCCATCAGCTTCCCAGCAATTGTACAGATGTTTTGGTAGTAAAACTCTTCATGGATCCAGCTTTCCCTCCATCATCCCCTACGTAGCTGCATGCTCCACCAAATCTAATGGAGTCCTGAATGAGCCAAGGGAGGGCAAGAGGCAGAACATAAAGACACATATGCCTTCAGACAGGTTTCAATTGTAATTACTAAAGGAAAGAGAAGTTCCAGACTTTCTAGAGCAGACATAGATCACTGCTGTTTAGTTGTTCAATTACAAAGCAATTGATGGGGAGAAGTTATTAATTTTAGGGGACCAGTAAAGTATATGTAAGTACAGTCTATATAACGATGAACTAACTAGGCTGAATTTACTCAAGTTAATGCTTCCTGCTTGCAAATAATGTCAGCAAGCTTTCTGATATTCTCAAGCTGAAACAAAGCAGAGAGCTTCCCCAGCTCTCCTACTCCGTACAATACCACATTTGTTTAAACCACATACACATACAAAACAGAAAAGCAGAAAGATGAAAATTAAATATTTTGGCAATATTTTCAAGATGTACTTCTCCACGAATACAAAGTTTTTGCTTTTAAATAGTATGGATGAGAGAAAAAAACAGACTGTTAAAGAACCTTGCCTTCTGAGAAATGTTGATTAAAAAAAGAGAATGTCTTCTCTTTAGAAGCAAAACATACCATCACATGTCGAAGAGGCTGGCATTGGCTTATACTCTACTTTTAGGACTAAGTATAATCTATATAGTTTTGAGATTAGTAGGAATGAGGAGATGCACGTGCTAAGCATACTAGATGATTTTCAAGGAAAGGAAAAATTTTCTTAGAACAGTCTTTCAGACAAAGGGAAACAGCAAGCATATGTTGCATCCACACTGTAGGAACAAGTAGAACAGGTGTAGAACAGAAAAGAAATCCAGCAGGAACAGACTAAGCTAGCTCAATACGAGACCAAGCAGTGACACAAGGCATCTTCATCAGATAGGGCAGAGATTAAGAACAGCCACAACCTTCGCCAGTGGGGTTGAATTATTTCATCAATGGAAATTTTGAGATTTTTTGGTTTCTGCGTTTTTGTGGGGTTTTTTTTTTTTTAACTGCAAGTTTTTGCCTGCTGTCATTTTTAAGCACTCAGCAGAAGCGGAGACAATAACTCGAGGCAGACGTGAAAGCTTTGCCTATCAATTAATTCAAACTGCACTTCCTAGTACACCTGTTCAGATATTTGCATGTTTGTCACCAGCACCGTCAAAACACACGCTATGTGAGGGGAAATGTGGAGAACTGAAGGGGCAGGTGAGACCAAATAGGATTTACTGTGGAACTGGTTGTTATCACTGCAAGGTCACTCTTTATCATCCTTGAAAGGTCACTGTGAACAGAGGGAGGGCTGCATTACTGGGAAAGTAACACCCATCTTCCCAGAAAGGTAAGGAGAAGGATCCAGGGAGTAAGTTTGCACACAAGACAATGTCAGACTCACTAATTAAAACAGCGTGACTACAAGCTGTCAGCTGTATGGTGAGACTAAAGCAGGATTACCCAATGCTTTGGTATTTTACCAGCTTCCCTAAACATATCGCCATGGTCAATCAAGCTTACTGACATGCCCACTCCATGTGTCCCTTTCTCCTAGTCTCCTGCTCCCAAGCATGCCCACCTCTTGCCTGGTCTAGCCCACAGCCCTCAGTAGCATTTCTAAGACAGGCTCTACAGCACAAAAAGGAGATGGTGTAGGCATGTGCAGCCACAGAGGAGAAGGAGAAGGAGTTACTACCATGTAACTGGCTGGCTCATCACAGCAAGCCAGCAAACATTCCCTGAATCGTATTTTAATGATGACTACCCAAGGGACCACAGCAAAACATTTTCTTTGTGCATGGTAAGAAAACAGAGGAATGCAAAGAAACACTAAAAAGTTACCCAAAACTGACCAATTTGCCTGGATTAAAAGTGTGGTTGGTTGCAAAAGCTGTAACAAGATTGACACCTTTTTGACTAGAAAGAAAAGCAAAGCTAGCTAGTCACTGCTTTAACCTCTATTACACTGAACCAATCCTATGCTTGCAGACACAGTGTAAATGATAACCAAATGTACAAACACATACATGATAAGGCAGATTTCAGTTTTTCTATGGTTTTCTTCAGTTTTCATTTGTTTCGCCTACTACTGCTGCTGCACCACATTGACTTGGGAAGTCCATGATTTCAGTCATTCCTGCACTCTATGTGCCTCACTATGCTTTACATGACAGACAACACTAAGCTTCCACTTAATCAAAGTCACGGGTTTCATCAAACCCTATATGCTAGTGATTTCCCTTTAGCCTTTAATTCTCTTATTCATGAGAAACAGAAGAAATTAAAAGTCTTCTCCAAATCTATGAAAAAAGTATGAAATGCTGTAGTTATTAGTTTCAATTTCCAAATTTCAGGCCTGAGGCAAAAATTGCAATACTTGATTTATGTATCAGTTTTTGATTTCCAACAGTGATACCTGTAGGCAAGTTAGAGTACACTATCAAAAAACAGTTCGCATGAATTTGCTACCACATAGTTGTACATGCTTTTAAACCTTCTTGTTACATTCATCTCCACTTTCTCAACACTCAGTTAGATTAAGCTCCTAGAAGCGGGGTGGGGGTGAAGTCTTTACTATAATCACAGAGTCTTGAGATTAAGCTTTAATTTGCACTGATGAGGAAGAGCAGGGGAAGGGACAGACATACAAGAAGAGCTTTGAACAGGATCATTTACTATATTCCATTGCATTTCAAGGAATTTCAACAGCAGAACAAATATGGTTTGGAATAACAAAACAAAAAGCTCTGTAGCACTTTTACTCTGCTGTACAGATAACACTCCATAAGAAAATATCCTAAAATGGTTATACAGAGTAACCTAGGTTGCATGAAATAATCACTTTTAAAATCCAAGCATCCCAAACTGGGTTCCACATATTACATCATAATTTAGGGAGGAAAAATAAGGCAGTAATCCTTCTCCATCCTGGAACCTATTCTGACAATCAGAGCATTTACCCCTTCTCAAGTCTACATTTCTCTACTACTCACTGTCCTTAGAAATTCCTTGTTAGCTTACAATGAGCAGGGCAATTAACACACAAAACCAAGGTGGAGAAAGCCTTGACTAAGAAACTTACCTCAAGAGCAAACATTCTGTCCATCATACTTCTTGATGAGGTGGCATCAGCTACAATATGAACTTCCAGACCTCTGCCGATTAATTCCAATGCTGTTTGCTGGATGCAGACATGAGTCTACAGGGGAGAAATCAAAGGCAAAAAAAACCCAACAAACCATTATTATAAAATATGAGTAGCACAATGCCAAATTAGAGTACATAATTAATTAGGGTTCAAACATGCATTTTTCTACCCCTGACATTACCAAGGAACTCAATGTGGGTTTTAAATGCCAGCCAAGCTTGAGACAAGAGTCTGTAGTTTACAAATATCTCGTTTCAAATTTTATTACGAGATAATAACAAAGACAAATAGCACAAGAATAATTTAATCTGTAGAGGATATCTGAGCTCTAAGCAATATAAATTGACTTTTTTTAATTACAGAAAGCAATGCTTAATACTATTGTGGGTCAACAGACATTACCATAAAACAGTACAAGAATGGCAAGGCACATACTTCTACTCCAAACAGGACAACGCTGCGGACTCCAGGGATCTCTGCTAATGCTGCTTCAACTTCTGGCAACACCATTGAAAATTTTGTTTTGGGAAGCACAAGCTTAGCTCCTGTTAAATCAATCTCTTGCACAGTGCTGCCAAGACCTTTGGGATACTGCTCAGTTACAATAACTGGAATTCCTAAGAGCCGTGCACCCTGGAGCTGCAACAGGGCAGGGAGGAAAGCATACAAGAAAAGAAATTATTAAAGAATGGTAACAGCAAAGGCATTGTTATTACCTGAAACTGAATAACCAGTAAACTGGCTGTGTATAAAATAATAATTTACATGTGTGATCAAAACTCATTACAAGAAAAAAGCAAAAACCGTACCAGTCGCTGGCCCACACTGATGATGTCACCGAAGTACTTGATGGCAGGGCGGAATCGCTCTTGCATATCACAACAGAAAAACACAGTGCTTGAGGGTGTCAGGTTGCCCAAAGTAGTCATCTGAAAAACAAAATAAAGATAATGTTTTCAGTGGCAGTGAAGACCCTTTCAGAAAAGCAGCAGAATGAGAAAGAGTCTGCAATGCCTCTGCCAGCTAACGGCCTTATGTTACTTTAAGTCAAAATAGGAGAAAGGCTTTTCAAGCCCGATTTTGGTATGTTTCTAAATTCAAATGAATGGCTGATACTGAGCAGTACAGTACAGTCATCAACAGGTAATCAAGATTTTATTAGGTGGCAGACACAAGTCAATGTAAATGTACATGGGAACTTTTGAACCCTGAAGGAGGGCAGAGGAGCATACTGCCTGAAGAACTGTAAAAAAAAAAAAAAAAGTACCAACAGCAAAATTACATTCCTCAAACTCATTTTTAAATCCACAACTCTTGGAACTGACGTAAAATCAGGATAAATTAAAGTTAAAAAAATAGTCACACTTCCACTTGCTTTCAGTACTGTATGTACAGATATTTTCAACAGTTTCATTGTGTAGTCAGTTTGCTTTGTCTATGATATCTTTTAGCATAAGTCTGATGTCCAAAGGCTAGAACAAAAGCAGAGGATCTTGTCAGTATTATGACCAGAAACGGAAGACATTCTAATGATAAAAATAATTTCCCAGATTTTCCCTTGTACAGGCTACTGATGGGGTGGGGGTGGTGGAGGTAAGTAAAAAGAAATAAAAGATCGTATTTTCTCACTTTGAAAGAGTGCTTTGTATTTGTATGGAATTACTTGCACTACCTGCAGAAGCAAAGGATAAAGGCTTCAGCTGGAGGCTACAGGGAAAGAAAGCAGCTACATACTATCATTTAGTTGTAAGACAACTCAAGAGAAATTATATCCATTCAGGAGCTTTTCAACAGACTGATAAATCAAATGGAATAAACTGCTTCTGGGAAGTAGCCATTAATCATATACACTTCATTTTCTGCAAACCAAGGTTGTGATGTTTTAAACTAAAGCAAAATTACAAAATCTGTAAAATAGTATACTTTGGAAGAGCAGGGATATATTGGGTTTACGTGGCAAGGTTCTGGTAGCGGGGGGAGGCTGCAGGGTGGCTTTTGCGAGAAGATGCCAGAGGCTGCCCCACGCTGGACAGAGCCAGTGCCGGCCAGCTCCAAGTCAGATCTGCTGCTGACCAAAGCCGAGCCCATCAGCAATGCTGATGGTGCCTCTGTGATAAGATATTTAAGAAAGGGTAAATAAACCACTGTGCAACAGCAGCTGGGAGAGAGGAGTGGGAACATGTGAGACAAACAACTCCACAGACACCAAGGTCAGTGAAGAAGAAGAGGGAGGAGGTGCTCCAGAGCAGAGATTCCCCTGCAGCCCGTGGTGAAGACCATGGTGAGGCAGGCTGTGCCCCCACAGCCCACGGAAGTCCACGGTGGAGCAGATATCCACCTGTAGCCTATGGAGGACTCCACACCGGAGCACGTGGATGCCCAAAGGAGGCTGTGACCCCGTGGAGAGCCTGTGCTGGAGCAGGTCTTCTGGCAGGACTTGTGACCCCGCAGAGGACCCACATGGGAGCAGTCCATTCCTGAAGGACTGCACCCCATGGAAAGGACCCACACTGGAGCAGTTTGTGAAGGACTGCAGCCTGTGGGAAGAACCCACACTGGCGAAATTCGTGAAAGACTGCCTTCTGTGGGAGGGACCCCATGCTGGAGCAGCGGAGGAGTGTGAGGAGGAAGGAGTGTCAGAGACAAAGTGTTATGAACTGACTGCAACCTCCATTCCCCATCCCCCTGCATCACTTGCAGGGAGGAGGTCGAGAAGTTGGAAGTGAAGCTGAGCCTGGGAAGAAGGGAGGGGTAGAGGGAAGGTGTTTTAACATTTTGTTCTTATTTCTCGTTATTCTATTCTGTTATTGATTGGCAATAAATCTGATTTCCCCAAGCCAAGTCTGTTTTGCCTGTGATGGTAACTGCTAAGTGATCTCCCTGTCCTTATCTTGACCCGTGAGCTTTTTGTCATATTTTCTCCCTCTGCCCTGTTGAGGAGGGGAGTGACAGAGCAGCTTGGTGGGTACCTGGTGGCCAGCCAAAGTCAACTTGCCACAAGGGAATCAGGAATCCTTAAACATTAGTCCCAAATCTTTCATTGATTCACCATGACTCCTGCGTAAAACACTTTCAATCTCAATTTCCAAGGCTAAAAAACCTACAGTAACAGCCACCCTCAACCATACCAAACGGCCCATTCAAACTGTTGTGAAAATTGCTTGTGCATTAGAATTGTAAATGCTAAATTCCCACACCTCTCAGACTCAGTACACCACTACTGCCAAAACACCAAATGCTCGTAATTGCAGTTCATCCAGTCCTCACAGGCAAATTGGCAATACTATTAATACAAGCAGTTACGAAGACAAATGCAGTAACAACCAGAAAACAGGTGCTCTAACACTGGACCCACTGATGCCACAGGAAGACAGAAGAGCATGACAACACGCATCAGGGAAATCTTTTTCACTAGGAAGATACAATTGCACTGAAACAGCTTACCATGGGTGGTGGGATCTCCGTCCTTGGAGATTTTCAGCATTCAGCAAAGCAACAGCTGATTTGACCAAGAATTGACTTTGTACAGGAGTTAGGGAAGGCAGCCTCTAGATATCTCTCCCAAAAGACACTTCTGCAATTCTACACCATGGAATAAATGAGGCCTGGGACCAAGAATGCTTGAAAATAAAATTAAATATTGAATTGAAACTGGCTTGTTCTTGAACACCATCCATCTATGTGTTTGAACAATGCAGAAGCCAACTGGTGGGAAGTACTAATGTACAATTCAATGGCACAGTGAGCACCTACTGTGACCCATTCTAACTCTGGCACTTACTACCATCAGAGCAGTCAATCACGACATTTAACTTTCCTACTGTTCAGCAGCAAAAAACAGAGTAATTGGAATAGACAATATTTATAAGTGTGCCTCCTACTCAGAAAACGTGTCATTTTGTCTTGGCATTTATATGACAAGCAAAGACCATTATTTTCTTCTATAAATCATCCCACCACTTTAATTTTTTTACGATGATTTTGAACTACTGCAAACCATCATGGATTGTAGAGCAATCTACATGGAATTAGTCTACTGCCTTAGTATATACTAAGTATATACTAAGGCAGTGGATGGCACTACCATCCTTAGCAGAGGAACAAGTATGAGTAGACTAAGAAGGCCTTCAAGAAGCTACATAGCCTGCCTCTACAGAAGGATCAACCAAACACAAATATTCTTCACAGATACCTACCTACTTGGTCTGACCCCTCAGCAGCACACGATTTACAGAGCTCCTAATACAATCCATCCCACAGGTCTGTTATCTTTACCTTGCAGTGTTTTCTCACCCACAGCTCCTTTGCTGCTGTTTAAGAGTGTTATTCCCAGTTCTGTCCATGGTGGATTTGAAATGCAAGAGCATTACCATCCTCCTTCACATGCATAACCATGCCCAAACACCTATTACCATACAGCAAGACTCAGATCTGGTCTCCCTTTAGTCCTTCCCCTCTCCTCCCTTATTCTAAAACATATCTAATACTCTCGATCTTTCTTCCTACAACTCAAATAATTATCGTTGCACTCCCTGGGGTGCTTTTCAAACTGCAGTCTAAAGCAAGGTACCCAATACTACTATAACAGCCGTATTTCTCTGCCCATAATACTTCCAGCACTAGTAGAGCTTCAGAGAAGATTGGTCAATTCACAGCCCTTGAAGGCCCTGTTCAATTTGTACTTTCCAGTATGCTATTTGCTCTTTTCATAATTGATGATACTTAGACTCCTGAGATGCATTTTAACCTCAAAATCATCCCTTGAACTCTCCCTCATCTTTTATTTGCGTAGTTGATTATTTCTGCCTTAGCGTAGGAATTATTTCTACCTTTGTTGCTTCCATTTTGAACTGCATCTTATTTCACCTTGTTTCTCCAACTCATCATGAAAAGCCTGAATTCTGCTCTCTCAGATGCTTGCAGCTCCTACCAGCTTGCAACCTTCTGCAAAAACAGTATTTGCCCTGAATTTTGGCAATGACATGGATGATGGAATATTTACAAACAGTGGATTTACAACAGATCGCACAGAGCCCAATTCAATATTATTCTGATTTGATAGCAAAGCACGGAAGAAAACCGACTGCTTTTCCAGCCAGGGAGCATCCTTATTACAGACTTCCACTGAATCTGTAATCCCATGTGTTTATGACAAACATCACAGGGAGCTGGAGCAAAAGCCATATATCTGCTTTCCTCTATTATCAAGTTGGTTTAATATGAATTAATTTATGCCTTCAGTTTAATACCAGCAGCACTTTATTTTAAAGTTGAGTCAACTATATATTTGCTAAATAAAAGCTTTACAAAATCTAACACAAATAATTCCTATATTGATTTTCGTATTTATTTCTGATTAACTTGCAGTCTGAATCGAACCATGCAACACGTGGCAGAACAAGAAGAAACCAGAAGAACTAAATGGCAAGATCAAAAAATCAACAGTTGCTGGTGTTACTTGGAATAGCAGATATGGGAAGAACAGAGCACAGCAGAAAGCAGTTTGAAATTAAGTTTCATAAATAGTAGCTAATGCGGTCCATAAATAAATTCACAAAAGTATCTGCTATATATAAAGGAAAGTTTCTATTTACTGGTTCTTCAGTGTGCCACATAAATCCTTGCCACTCACTTGCTCTCAAAGGTGTCCTCCCCTTCCACAGCCACACCGCATCAGGGACATGGGACACCTCCACCTCACATATCCCCTGACAGCAAAAACCACAACCGCCCGCACCGCTCCAGCGCTGTGCCCTACCAGTGAGCTGGGGTGGGGGCAAACCTACACCCAAACATCAAACCCTGGGCTGTCACGCCAGCACCCCTTTGCTTTCACTCCGAGGACACACAGGCTGGGCAAGGACTGGTCAAGGATGGTGAGCCACTGCAGCCACACGGTACCTGTCCGAATCTGCCCCAAACGTTAACA